GGGAGGTGAGTCTGAGGAGTGCAGAAGGAGGCTACTTGAACACATTCACTTCCTCAAGCAACCCTTCCCCCCACTACATTCCTGTTCTCTCCAATACTGGAAAGAATCCTCTGTAAACTGAAGGCTGTCTGGACCTAACCCTGCATACTGCAGCTCTTCCAGCAGAAATTGGATGCTTGGCAAATTATCTAGCTACTGGTCTTGCTAACTTTTCACCAAAAGTTTAGATCATCCAATACCTGCTTTTGTAAAACCATCATGTCACAGAAACATGTTGGCCAATCATGCACTGTTGTTGATGTAACTGGTAATCCAAGACCATTTCCGTTTACTACTTGAAATCTACTTACCTTCTCTCTCAAGCGTTCCAGTTTAGCAGCCATTTGTGCTTCTCTGTTCTCTTTGTTTGCTTCCATTTTGTGGGTCAACTTTTCCTCTGCCATCTTGCTGAAGTTGTTATTCTCTTCAATTGCCTTCTGCAGCACTTCCTTTTCATGCTCTCGTTTCTCAGCTAGCTGCTTCAACACCTCGGCTTCATGGGACTAGAATACAGATCAATTCCATGTTTAGTTGAAAGTTATCTATGCAAGTTTCAGTTGCTGGCTGTGAAAACTAAGACTTGACTTAATCCCAGTCTGCTGTCAGATTGCAATTACAACAGAGGCTGAAATCATCTGCCCTCGTTTTCCCTTGAAACCTCTTCTCCATTTCTAGACTACTAATAGATCACATGGGACTCCTTCGAGGAAAATGCTTAACAGAACCAAATAGTTCAAACAGAACTATAGCAATGTTGGAATCTCTAGCCTTCTACTAGTTTCTCAGTTTTTTAAAAAAATATTAGGAAGTACTATAGCAGTTACACAGTTTCAGACTTTAACCACAAGCTACAGAAAGCCTGTATGGTCTAGCACAGTGGCCCCCAATATAGCATCTGTGCAGGGGGTGGTGTGGTGGTGTGCATGAGTGGGGCACCCGTGAATGGGGGGGTGTACATGTGTGCAATCCATCTCCCCGGCCCAGTCCTGCTAAGGCCATGGCCCGGTTCCAGGTTGCAGACTGGGGACCCCAGGTCTAGCACACAAGAGTATCAGACTAGCTCTTAGAAGATCTATATTCAACTCCCACTTGGTCTTGAAAACTCACTAGGGATGGCAATGATTAGCCATTCCTGGAACATCTCACACACCAGGAAAACCCTACAAAAGGCTGTCCTAAATCAGGTGACCTGACAGCACATAACATACAATACTGTTTACAGCTAACATTTACCTCTAAATGTTTAGATTTCTGGCACTGGCTGAAAACCACTAGCACAAAGTTACAGCATGTAAGCCTGATGATGTCATTAGCCATGGCTGTCCCCAAATGCATTTCCAGGACAAAAAGCATCTTAAGGGAGTGCAAGAACCTGGCCTGGGATAGGCAGTACAGGGGAAAGGAAACTTTTAAAAAAACATATGGCCGTAGCTGATAACACCATTAGATTTATGTGGTGTAATTTTATGCTAACGGATTTCAGTCACTGTGTATTTACCTTACGTCTTTCTTCTGCAGCTTCTAGCTTCCTCTGAATTTCTTCCAGTGAAAGGTCTTTCTTCTTTGGAGGTGAAAGAGGAAACTCTGGAACAGCTTCTTTTGAAGGGGGGCCAAGTATCAATTCAAATGCCTGTCCAGAAGCACGTTTTTCTAGTTCTTTCACCTGAATGTCTACAAGAGATATTGTTACTAGTTGCTATTGTCAGTACCCTGCACCACATCATGTTTCTAAACAAAAAGCTACTTAAAAGCATGCAGCTCAAATTCCAAACATCAGCACTATAGGCTTAAAATCTCTCAGACTGTAAACATAGCTTCCCCTTCCTCCAAGATCTTCAAAGTAGTGTATGGGCACTAGGGAAGAAGTGACAAAAAGGAAATCTAATTTTAGAAGATGTCAGTCTTTCTGCATATTTTAAAATGTTTACATTCAAGTGGTATATAGCCTGCTAGTTTTACCATTATTCAAACTAGAACAGAAATGCTGATATTTGAAGGGGAAAAAAAGACAGATCTAATCACCTACAGTTGCCATGGGGAATCTACAGAGTCGAAGCCTACATATATTCACATTTGTCAATGTGACAACTGTGCAGCAACTGTGTCAGCAAACCCACACTGCTTTATCAGACAAGTCTAGAACCCAAACACCAGTGCTGTTCAACATATACATTTATACTTATACACACAGAGACAATATTCTTTAGATTATATACACTATTCTTTGAATAATGTAATCCCAAAGCATGACTAATAAATTAAGCCCACTAAAATAAACTTCCAACTGTTGCTGAATGCTGAAAAGGCATTACTTATAACAACTGTCATCAATACTGTCAACAGTACTTACCAGAAGATGCCATGGCTAAGATAAATTCCAAATGCAGGATAACAGCAAAGAAATACTAAGGAAACAGAAACATCAAGTTGTGATTTTTTGCAAGATTAAATGTTAGGCTTTCAAGACTAAGCAAGATAGCACAGCTACTTTCCCCTCCCAACAGCTTCTAGCCCTTTGTGTTTAAGGTTTAGAAGATATGTGAAACAGTACATCTTAAATAAGGGCAACCAATATGCTGTATGTAATGTAGTAAACAAACTAGGATACCCAGGATTACATTATGAATTAATTTCTATCTAAGGATTACAGGGTCACTCTGCTGAGAACAGTTTTAGAAAAAAATGCTGCTGGGTATTCATTTCAGCATTTACAATTTAACTACTGGTCAAACGGCTGAGGAGTTCAAGGGTTGAGCTGTCACATACTAAATGACTGGGTAAGGCAAAAGAAATCCAATAACCACTGGCCTGAGGTTGGTTCCCAGCATTAAGGAAGCATTCAGTACTGCATGCTCACACAAAGGAAAATGGTATCAAGTGGCTGTGTTTCAAAAGATACTACATTCTATCAGAGATTAAACTGCTAGGGTGAAACAATCAATTCTGTTGGTGGTTGTAGGTTTTTCGGGCTGTTTGGCTGTGTTCTTAAGGTTTTTCTTCCTAACGTTTAACCAGTCTCTGTGGCCAGCATCTTCAGAGGACAGGAGTCAGAACTCTGTGCTCTGGCTCAATTCTGGCATTTTTGTTAGTTGTGAAGCAGATCTTTGTCTTATACTGCCTTATACACAACTGGAAAAGGACATCTTGCCCTAGGTTAACATTTAAGACTTCAACCTAAGCATCCATTTCAAGCAATGTCCTCTTTATTTAGGGTTACAGTAATAAATCTGTGCCCATAGTTCTTAAACAGGCAGCAGGCAGGAGACACACGAGGCTGGTGAGAAAGACATACCAGTTTTTCCTCCAAGATAAAATGAATGCATCTGGAACTGAAAATATCTCTGGCATGTTATGGGTGTGCACATTTGCTGCTTGTTACTGGTACCAGGGAGTTTAATCACTCTTCTGCTTAACATGGGAAGGAGGCAGTATTTAAAAATAAGTTTCTGGCACTCAATGATTTAAAACATTTCTAGCCATGATCATTAAGCCACTCGGCAGGAATGCTCCATCCGTCCTGTCCATACTGACAATTATGTGCGCCTCTACATATGCTACTAAAATCCTTAGAGTGCTTCTTCAGAAAGAAAGAGGCGTTCCCTTTCATCCAGCACCCTATATCTGCAAAGCCATTGTTGCTGCTATCTTTGTAAATGCTCAAGGCAGGAAGGATTAACCTGCCAGGAGCAAGAACCAGAACGCTCGCACTACATGGCCACGAATAAAGACATCCTAAAAAAAAAAGGCAAACTGAATTTTAAAATCTCAGCTCGAGTCATCCAGGTCTTCTTGAAACAAAATCCGTATTTGAATGAGAACCCGAAACAAAAGATAAAGACCTGATTTGCTTCCCTTCCGAGGCAGACAAAAGGTCTGGAAGGTGGAATATACTGTGCAAGGGGAAAAAAAAATTTTTGGGGGGGGAGGGATCAGAAGCAGCGAACCTTTCCTAAGCTTGCAAAACGAGCACGGCTGGGGTAAAAAAAAATTAAAATGAAATGAAACAACGCCCTATAGTTAGGAAAGGGGGGGGGAAGAGAGAGAGAAAGCCACCCCCCGCTCACCCATTCACGAGGGCGGGCACCAGCGAGCCTCCCGACCAATCGGCGCGCGACCA